AGTCTTCACGCTCTGATGAGCACAAAAACTACCGTCCACCCTGTTGCGTAAAGTGCATATTAAATGGTATCACTGTTGTACTTTTCCTTTATGTAATATGCATTATTGGTACTGTACGTGCAGCCATATAACTTAATTATTTTCATATTTTTTATTAGTGAATCGTCAAAAACCTAAACAGCAAAAGAAATCATATAAAATAGAAAAATTCGTATCAGAACATTTTATTAGAAATCATAAATGACAAAAAATATACACTACTCCATACGCATAGGCCTATGCATCAATGAAAAACATTATTACTATAGTTTACAACTTTATCCCACTAGAAAAGATACAAATATAGAAATATTAAATACAAGATATAATACCGTAAACAATAACATAAAAATACTAGTTTTACAAGGAATAATAGTTACAGTACTTTATTCAGAAGCCTTACTTTATGCTTTAATATAATGCATGGTAATCTACTTTATTGCTTTCCAAGTCTAAGGCGGTGGTGTCTGCATTTAGCATTTATGGCACCACGGATTATTGGCTCTGAACCACTTATCAATGCTAAATGTGGGAATTCAATATTAACTTGGTCACGAATAGCATTCATGATTTGTTCGTTCAATCGTTTAAATATCGTTGGCGTACCCTTGGAGTAGAAGGTACCGCCATTCAAATTACTCTCCGCCATTTCCTCTATAGTTAGCAAACTCGTCATTAAATTAAGCGTTAAGGAAATGGCGGAAGACGAAACCTTAAACACCTCCTTGTATTCATTGGCGGTCATGGTTATTTCGTTTGTCATACCTATCGACACGCGATCTGATGTGCTGAATTTGTTGGTTGGTGCGTTTGGCTTTGGTAGCCGCATAATGTTGTCTTTTGGTGTTCGCATTCGTGGACGAGACAACCATGGTGGCGAGGTAGGGGTTATGGGAAAGGGACGATAAATGTGAGCATTGTTGGATGTCCAGGGATTGTCCAGTAACTCAGAATTTAGTGCTGGGCGGTACCAATCAAGTGGGTGTGAATTTGTAAGGTGAGTTTGAAGAGTGGGCGGCTGGTGTTGCACATTCGGGTGCGGCTGTGTGGTTGAGCGAGATAGCGTTGATGACGCTGTTGATGATGATGATGAGTCCAGTGGCGAGTTCGGTGATGGAGGTAGCGATTCCGGTGGCGGTGGCAATTCTGGTGATGAATGTAGCGGTTCTAGTTGCGGAGGCAGTTCCGGTGATGGAGGTGGTGATTCCGATGACACAGCTGGCGAGTCCGGAGGAAGAGCTAGCGAATTCTGTTTCTGGAGAGGCCCAGGGCCAGTATTGTGTTCGGCAGTGAATTTACTGAAGCTGATTTAGTAGAATCCTGAGGGGTAAAACAGAAAGTATAGTGTTGGTTTAGTAATAAAGAGCAAAAATAAAAGTTTTATTAGAGAAAATGGAAAAAAATACGACGCGGAAAGATGTATGTAACACCTTGAAAATTTGGAAATGAACGTGCTGTGATTGTGTTTGTTATTACTGTATTATTTTAAGATTTTAACTTGCTTCGTGATTGTACTTGGAATTAACTTTCTATTATTTCATTAAATGTAGGTCTAATTACCTAAAATGAAGACTTTTACTTTGTGATTGTAAATTATAATATTGACCTACCTACATAATTTCATCAATTGAAAGTTTACAGATTGTTTAAACTGGATTTAGCACCAATAGGCCTATATTGTATTTTATGGATTATAATTGTCATCAGTTATTCAAATAGGAGTACTATAGCATTTCGAAAAATCTAATTCAAATGTGCAGGAAACTGTGAATTGCATACTTACAATAAGCAATAGAGCTTTTTTTTTATTCCTAAACAATGGATACGTGTAACAAGGTAGGGTGGATGATCGCAAGAGCCATGGCCTTTTCTTAGTTTAGGTTAAGGCCCAGTCAGCCAATTTACTTGAATATTGCTTTAATTCAATTTATATTTGATTTTTGTATAATGCAAATTCTAAGTTTAGTCATATCATTATTATATAATGCGGATTATTATGGAATTATTTTGGTCATGAGATAAATTAGATAGCCTATTTTTTACATTTTACACATAATAAGTACACATACTAATTACATTGATTCTGCTTGATTCTCCTTTATTTTCTTAGAATAAAATAGTAGTAGGCCTACTACCATGAAGAAATTACGTTGTGAAATAACATCGGGGTACTGTATTCAGAGAAAGCGTTATATGAATGGGAGAACTTTAGAAGGAGAGAACTAAACCAATACATATTATCTTAGGCCTATCTAGTTTCCAGAATTAAGATTATATTGAAAATCAACAGTGTATTTTTACACGTTTTTAGCTCATTAAGTGACCACTTAAGAAAAAATTGAGTTATCGTTATAGCGATATTGAACATTAAGACTGGATATATAACTGTAAAATTAAATACTGAATGTAATTATATGAAAAAAAATGTATCATAAATACGCATTTATTTTAATTTTTAGGATAGGCCGAAAGAAATTGTTGGAATGTTTTTTTAAAAGAAATTTATTGATATTTAGTTACTTATCAATAAAAATCATATATTTGTTGAAAATATATAAATAAATCCACACACGTAGGGCCTATTGAAGAGATCACATTTTATAAGAAACAAAAATAAACGAGCGAGTTATAATTAATGCTGTGGCTAGAGATAGTTATCGTATTATAAGGTATGGTAATTGGCATTACGTCAACTTCACCAAGTGCCAGAATGTGCGTGACATTATCTGTCAAGATTGGCATTGCAGATCAGAAGGTAATAAGAGAACGATGGGTATATTATTAGAACAATAAGATGATATAACGGTACCGTACTTTTTCCAAAGCATATAGGCCTATCATCAGTATACGCGTATTTAAATTACAGTCCTACAATGAATTACAAACAGAAAAGAGATAATACAAGATGTGTTCTATTCTATGCATCGTGGTTGTTCGCGCAACCGATTTTAAGAATGAAGTTTAATTTGTCACTTACGTCTACAGCCTCCGAAGAATCATATGGCTTGTCGTCGCCCAACACTAGTTCTTTCTGATTCTTCAACAGCTCGGCATTTGAATCTAAGAAAAGTAAAATGTAACAAAAATTAGCATGAATAAAAAAAAAGTATAGGCCTACTGTAAATTATTTTGAATGGTCTTAACTGCCATAGTGTCCCCTCGACAAACGTATAAACAGGATAGAACAACATTTGTATTGTTTACTACGCGTATATCGAATACCACATCATCGTTCATGATCTGCTGTATCAAAACTAAGGATAGACCTATAGAAAATGTCACATACCTGATAGAAACTTAATTACCCCAGTAAACTGCTGCTGAGTTGTCCAATTTACCGTTACTTCTTGACCGATTTTTAATAAGTCGGATGTCTGAACAACCTTGGCTGTTGGTACTATGGAAGTTGTTTTATCAACTTTAAAATATACCAAAGCATTTCTTGGATTTCTTTTACGACGAGCTTGTCTCCTTTTGAGCATGTTCGAATCAGCATTCAACTAAGAAATGAACATCATGTCCAGATAATCAAAAGAAATTCAGAAATTGTTTATCCAGTAAGGTGCCCACCCATCATTCCATTGTCCATTGTTTTAATATGAACTACATTTCAAAACGCACAGTCACGGCCCTATATGCAAATGGGAATTTGTAATCCTATACGTACCTATATTCATTTTTTCCAGCAAATATACAATAGTTTTTATATTTTTGCATAGATATTTTAATCACCCCTTAAATACAGAAAGACAGAATCATACAAACTGAACCCTAAAACAAAATTGTTAAATCTAGGGAGCTGATGGTGACTTTTAAAATCCAATGAAAATGTAACAAGGTTGGGAGGTTTTCTTAATTTAGAACAGAGAGAGGTAGCCCATGCGTTAATCGTCCACAGCTACTGTTCTTTCTTGTTCAGTTCAATTCAATTTATTGGATTCACTTTTAATACAGTGGCACTCATACGAAATGTATGGTCCATCCAAAAGACAAAAATGTGACGAGTGAATTTTCGCATTACCCTTGGTGGGTGGGCGTCATAAAGGTCAGAAAGTCCACACAAGCTCAGACAGTACAGTGCATTATTTTTGTTAGATTTCGGAAACCCATATCTTATAAAAATTCTACTTAAATGTCCATTAATAGGGTATTGTAGGAACATGAAGAAGTAGCGTTTTACTGCTTTTTGTTTTAATGCATCAGGATATTCCTACGAATTTCGTACCACAGTAGAAATCTACGGTTAGATGGATAGAAATGAAATGCTTGGCGTTATAGTGACCGATTTTAATAGTTTTTTTTTTTTCATGAAGTAAACAGTAAAATTTTGCCTAGTCTCAGTCAAGGGCGCTGGTGGTTTTTTTTTTTTTTTTTTTTTTTTTCAATTTTCAGTTTAAAATGTACTTGCATTGCACACTTCTCAACTGTAGAAAGTTATTGCTGCGAAGCAGCCAATTCATATTCTTGACAGCAATTTGACCTCTGAAAGGTCATTGTTTGTCAAAAAACAAGGGCCTATGACGACTGAAAAGCGGAGTTTCCTTCTTTCGTTCTGCTGGGTAAAATCAATTACTTTAGGCGACGTTTGTAGACAAACCAACACGTACCAACGTCCGCATGTCGCGCTAGCCTTATCCTACTCTAAGCCTAGACTAGCTAGGATGGTAAAGGCCTAGCCTTGTAGGGACGAAGGTCCCAATGAAAAACAACGTCGCTCCTTGATAGCTAACTTTGTTTATTTAACATCACAATAATTCATTATTAGACGTATAGTTGTTTTTTGAATTGTGCTCCACAAATCCAATACCTCGCACAACTCGAGTAACGTCTCGTATCTATTGTCGTGACGTCATGCTAGCTGGCTCACACTTGCGATGTCTCGCACTTGTGATCAAATAATACGCTGGCTCGCACTTTGGCAACACTCTTTGGCAGTCAACTCGCCCCTATAGAAAACCTGCCCTTGGAAACTTTCCCCATAAAAAAAATGTACACTTCCTAGACTATGCAGTCTTCAAAATAAAAATTGTAACCTTTGGTAATCAACTACATTTTCCACATACATAGACATTTTTGAAACTTTATTTTAAAAAACCTAAACCATAATTCACCACTATAGACACTTTTTGACAAAAATGAAAAATTATGACTTTGTTACCCAATGAGAAGTGTTGTAATATAGACAATGGGTCGTGTCTCATATTATTTGTTATATTTTTATTATTCATTATTTTCACTCGCATAAATAATTTTGTTCGAAGAACATTTATATGCAGTTGTACTTCGCAGCACTTCACTTGCAATTTCTAGTAACTCGGCTCCATGACAATGCGATTGGGATCGAGTTGATTTGGCTCGAATTCATACATGTCACACCAACCAAAAATTAGTAATTTTACCTGTCTCAGTTTGTTCATTTATTTAATTTCAACATGTATTATGTCTTTAAGACAGTTTTTAATATAGTAGCACTAAAATTATAATAATATTAATAATAATGATGATAATATGAAAACATACCACTAGTTAAAGTATGCTATCCATAAACCCTCGGCATTCAAATTGTATTCTTCTAGTAGTTGGGTACCGTAATTAATTAATTATTTATGTACATAAACCTGGTTCTTACGCTGATAACTTGCACTAATCTACATTTCTTACTCTTAATAATAATACTGTATTGAGAAATATTGAGTCACAACACGATGGCGTGTAGGCCTATTACATTTTGATATGAATTGTAGGCCTATAATTAGTTCACTTTTAAATCAATGCCATCCATCATACCAAGTGACTGTGCACCTAAATACAAATAAACTTACTAAACAAAACGATACGAAAAAAAAAATCTTCATTAAACTAGGCAAAATATTGTCATGCATAATAACAGTGTAATTGTTACCATGGCATAATGCATGTAGTATAGCATTAGGTCTGGTCATTTGCACTTTATCAGGAAAAGGTCAAATTCCAAGTTAATTGAAAGATACTTTACATGTTCTTATTGTTGTATACAGTCTAGACTATTGTACAGTTGGTGTTACGTAATATAATGTATCTTTGAGTTATTAACGTACTATACAATCAGTAAGTTAACAACTCTATTGGTTTATACATTATGGAATACATGTGATTAAAGATTTCCATTAATTGTTCTGTAGTGACATTTTAAATTTTATTTACATATTCGTTTTTGGCGAGGTGCTCAATCCTCAATTATGGACTTGTTTTGTGCTCCGTGAGTTTGACGTCTCTTATGTTATGCATGGAGGAATACAATAGGCCTAGGATGTAACAACAATTGTTTATCGATA